TTATCCTTGCAATGGCGTGTATGAAAAATTGATGTTTGTAAGCAATAATGGATTTGATTCTTAATTATGTTATTTGTGGAAAGGTCAAGAATTTACCAAATAGGGAAAGCTTCTCATCGCCCAAGTTTCAATTGGATAGAAACTTGGAATCATACAACTTGGTTGCATGATAAATGAGAAATTTCATATTTGGAAATTAGACTAATAATGTCAAGTGAAGGACTAGGAGATCAAGTACACAAGGTTGTGTGTTGATCAAGTCCACGACAAGAGTGACAAAGATATTCGTCATGATTTACTAAAGGTTTAGTAAATATGATTATACGTATAAGGTTAAGTGTAATTCCGAGTTAATTGAAAGAGTTTAAATCAATAACAGAACGAATAATAAGAATCAAGTAGGCAGAAAGATAAAAGTTTCTCTATTCTAAGAAGAAGGGAGAGTACCTTTTATTATGTTTTATGATAGGTCTTAATGATTAAGAACCATATCTCAATTGATCCTCGAAGTGAGTCTTAGTGCAATTGTATGTCTAAGAAGAGGAATCGAGAATTGAAGAAATGGTTAAATCAAGAAGTCAATCATACTTCGTTCCAAAAACAAGTCTTAGAGCTAAGATTGTGAATTGAGTGACAAGTCTTAAGAAGGTTTATAACATTCATCAAATGTGGAATTTGAAAAAGTTTTTTTTTATTCTTGTACATTTGAAATTGGAAAGTTGTGATGTCTTGGATAAGACAAAGACCAACTAGGACCAATTTTGTGAAGTGTTTTTATCTTGATAAAAGCTACACTAACTCTTGAATATTTGTTTGTCAAGAAATGTTTATTGACAAGAGAATCTTATATATCAAAGAGTCAGTGGGAGTCTTAATGGTCTTGAAAAGTTTGAAGAACTAATCAAGAATAAACCTTATCAATCATCACTAGCACACGACTTGAGGTTTATGACCTATCGTGTTGACATTATTTTGTTTCTGTGCCATTCCAGCTGAGTTAATTATGTATGTGAGTTCTATGAGTTCTCATTTGAATGCATAAAAGGCAAGCACCTTGATCAATGAAAAGTACATTGATATGAAAGGGTGAGCTGCTTAACTACTTGGAAGACATGGTGGGCACTCGTGTTACCATAAGGCAAGAAATCGAGATTAAGAAAGTTCAGTCCATATGAGTTTGGATTTGTCGCAAACTTTGGTTTTGAAAAATTCGTATGGATAGGAACACATACACCATTAAAATCTAAGTGTCATAAGATTCCCTCCTTCATGAAGATGACTGTGAGGAAATGCTTTCACTAAGAGAGATTTTAAGAAGATAGTGATTGTGAAACTGTATTGTCAAATTCGATTATGGTTACGGTATCCCTTTCCATAATCCGAATTGTGAGATTTGGTAATTATTCTGAATTGTTTAGACACACATATGAGCTATCTAAGGCAAAGGTGTATAAGATTAAGAAGCTTAGATAAAAGATTATCAAAGCATTAGGTATTAGAAATATGAACTTAAGAAATTCAATAGGTATTGTTTTCTGGAAGTTTAGATGTTTTCTGAATACATGTCAAAGCTAGTGGGAGCATAAGTGTTATGTTTATATGATAATAATCATCATGATAGTGGTAGCATAAAAGTTGTGCTGGTATGATTATTAAGACAAGTATTGCAAGATTAGCAATATTAAATATAGAAAACAAGAGTTATACTTTGCAAAGTCGTAAGGGTTGAATAGTTGTTTTGCTATAATTAAGGGAGAGAATATTATGCTTCATTTCAAATCTAAAGACTTAGGTTGTGGAATGTTAATAAATTTAGTCAAGGATACATAGTGTGTTCTCAAATTTCGATTATGATTATGACATAGTTCGAATTGTGAGAACGTGGCACATAAAATATTATGGCATAAGATTGATAAAGTATCAGATCTTTATGCATCATGTCCCATACGCTTCGGGTAAAGGATCGATTGCAGATGCTATAATATTTGACCATTCTAAAATTTTTCCAAATGTCTGGCACATTAAGAGGGAAAAAGGACAAGAATCAGTTTTGACTAAGATAATTAAACAACTATCAAAGGACAATCCAAAGCTTGCTAAGGATTGGTCGCTTGTGAGTAGTTGGAAGTATGGTATTGGATGGAACATATCGACATTATTATGAATAGATAAGATTCTATTAATAATGAGTTGTCATATGGCATGTATGGAAATGTTTCAATATTGGGAGTTGGATATTGAGAATCTATGTCTAGATTAGAAACTTTTATGCAAGAAGGATGTTCAAAGGAATGTACTTTGAGTGAGAGACATCATATCTATAGAATTGTTTCTGATAGAGATTGGCCAAGTCTTGATGATTTTGAGCTATGACTTTATGAAAGAATCATTGCATAAAGTGTTAGAATCTAGCATAAGTAACAAGAATTTGATATTCTTATACTTATGATAAGGATTGTGAGTTGTGAAATGAGTATGATTGGAAATGGTTTCATTTGATCTATTTCACAAAGTAAGGACTGTAGATAAACATTGTGTGCATGCTGAGAGCATGGGACAAGTGTAGTTATAATTCAAGTAAGAAGTTGATTACCCGAAACAACAAATAATGAGTAATGAATATGGTGATTAAATAAAATGTTTTATTTATACCCAGAGGTTGGGGCCATATGGGATTAGTATTATTCTTGTGTTTCACTTTGCATGTTTTGACTTCCTGAATAATTAAATTGGTTCAGAACAATCGAATTATTCGAACGAACCACAGTCGTTCATATGTTGGAAGTAGGTATGAATGAAGACTGTCGTGAATCGGTGTTTGGATTGTCTAAAGTGTATTAGACATAAGCAAATGTTTGCTGCAACGTTCATGAGTGCTTATGAATATGAGTTTGAGCATTGGATTAAACCCACACTCACTTTGATCACTTCATGGATTTTATCACGAGTGATTGATGAGACGATAACATCTTATATTCTTGAAACCGAGATGTGTGAGTTTTATCTTGCGAGTCGGTTACACATTGATAATATGTAAACGCACCAGTAACTTGGTGTTATAAAACATATTGTTGTGTGTGATTCGGTGAGTGAGTAAAAGAAAACATTGAATCAAAGTTTATCCGTTCCTTTTATCCAAAGTAGGATAAAAGCGATATCTTTGGGCCCCTCGATGATTTAGTGATGACACATAAGCGCTTGGCCAAGCCGAGACTAATTTGATGTGTTCAATTTTAGTCTGTTATCAATCGTCATAAATCGAAAGTCGGGAAATAGTATAGAGAGAATGATTTAAATCCATGTCTCACGTCTATACGATATCTAGAATGGAGGAATATATGATCCCTTATCTAAAGGACACGCTTCTGATAGGGTCAGAGTTGACAGTAGTTTTTGAAAGCTACGATTGCAGATCAGGATCTGAAGTCATACGCAGAATAGTTATTAGAATTATCCAAGTGGGAGACTGTTGGATTAGTGTCTAAGTCCATAACTATTTTGGTATGTACTTGACTCGATGGTTAATGGTTCTTTTGGGTTGCCTTCACCAAAGCAACCTGATAGGATGAATTATGAAGAGAAATGATTAATTATGATTTATTAATATATTATGAGAATAATATATTAAAGGAGAAATCATATTGTTTAATTAATATTAGTCAAGAATTAATTGATAATTAATTTTGTGGCTAAAAGAGATTAATTAAACTTAAGGGACTGGAACTGTAATTATAAGATAAATGCATTTGGGCTATCGGTCACCTTGGAATAATAGGTTGGATGAATTCTATAGGGAAACCCATTAGAAATCATCCAAAGGGATATTCTAAAAGGTTCCATGGGCTGCTTAGTGCTTAAGTAGTCAAATTAGGGTTTCCTAGTTGAAAACCCTAATAGCCTACATGTATATATAGTACCCTTAAACCCCCAAAACGTGGCTAAGAGTTCCACTAGGGTTTCTGGAGGTTTTTAGGCACCCTCCTCTCTCCTTATTCTTCATCCTCTTGCTCTTGGTGTTTGTGAGCCATTAGAGGAGTGACACCTGTGACTCTAAGCTTTCTTAAGTCATTACAAGGAGGATTTGTGATTGTTATTTCTATATAACAATCAAAGCTAATTCTCTAAACCCTAATTTCAGTTTATAATATGTTAGATCTAAGATTGTAAGTCTTGGATACGTTGCATGTACAATAGAGAAACCTAGATCCAAGCATTAGGGTTTGCATGAGCACATATGATGTTCTTATGGTTAAAACCCATCAATAAGGATCATAGTTAATGACATGAGTATGAGAAAAATCCTTATATAACAAGTATTACTAAATGTGTGTGTGTGTATATATATATATATATATATATATATATATATATATATATATATATATATATATATATTCTTTCTAGAAGAATCTCTTACTCATTTTAGCCTTGCTATACAGAGGAAGATTAATCAAGTCCATACTTGATTGTTAAACATGGATTACATCTCAATGTTCATGACTCTAAGTTATTTGTCAGATTCAAGATCTGATATAACATTTTGGTAGTTGGTGGTTTAACTAGAAACCATCAAGAACTCAACAATGAGAGATTCCACATTTCTCAAGTTATATGATTTCTACCATTATGGTGAACAATTTATGTTTATGAATAGCTACTATTCATGCTCAACGATTCCTTATTGAAACTAGTGTCAACAATTGTTGCATCCGGCTATGGTTCTTGAGCTGCTTCGAGTTCCACGTGCCTCCCATTTGCTTTGTCATTAGAAGCTTACTTTCTACTAACGTAATTTTCAAAGGAATAAATGATTTATTCTTGGTGGCACTACAAATAAAATTATATTTAGTGACAATATGTTTTTGTGCCACTATAGTAAAGTGGGGAAAATAGGTAGCAACCAAAATTTTTTCAAATGTAGTGAAATTATTAGGGCAAAGTTTCATCGGGTAAAACTAATAGATAAATCTATCTCACTTTATTCCCTCTTCCGTTCTCCCATGTCACTCACCCCCTGGTCGCCGTCATCCACTTACCCACTCATCGGTAGTCCCCGTCATCCACTCATCGGTAGTCCTCTTCGCTTCGTACTCACCATCGGGCCCACATCGTGGTTGGTGCCTCAAACGCCGGTAACAACCTTCGAAGAAACCACAACTGGAGCTAGGATACATCGGTGACCACATTTTATGAAGACATGTGTTTTGCTATTTAATGTGGATTTAGCTTCATATCTGCTCTTAATTTTCCTCCAACTGCATATTCAAGGTATGATTAAATTGGGTCTTTTTATAGATTCCTTGATTAGGTCGAGTAGATGCAATTGTTAGAGGGGGTTTGACGAAATTGGGTCTTTTTATTGATTCCTGTGATTTCGTCAACATCAGGCACCAATTTCTCATTCTTCTTCTTGTTCTAGTTTCTTCTTTTCTTTCACAAGATTTTATGCTCTGTTATTATATAGCTATGCTAATGTTGAAGAATTATGGTTATAGGTCAATAGGTCATCATGGTGTTAAGTATTTTGTTGTTGAGATCATTGAAAAAAAGATGAAGATAAGGTGTTTGTAGAAATTCTCAAATGAAAAAAAAAATCATTTTATAGTGCGATTAAACTACATTTTCGAGCTTTGTAGTGTCTAGGTATATTTTGAACTAAACTAAAGTTTGCAATGAACTTAGAGCTTGTATGACTTCATAATTCTATACACACTTATATGATTTTATGATTTTATGTGAAGGTGATTCATACTAGACAATTTGGATTTTGATGTCAAGTACTCAAGTTTCTCTAAAAGATTAAGGTGCTGTTTGTTTTTTCTGAGGCAAAATGTCTGCAGTCTGCGGATCACATCTGTAGACCTCTGCAGTAGAAGAGGTGGACCAAACGTCTGCAGTCTGAAAAAAGAAGACTGTTTGTTTTTTTAACATCTGCGGGCTATTAAAATAAACTGAAATCTAAATAAACTGATTTTTTAAAACTTCAAAGCGAATTTTTTATATATTTTTACGACTTTATTATAAATATATAACGAATCTAGATCAACTTTTATGTATTATTATATAAAAAATAAAAATAAAAATAGTATTAATTCATATACATATTTGATAAAAACCAACAACTTTGATTGCAAAGTTATAACTAAACATTATAATTAGTGATCAAAGAATTTGATACATAAATAGATGGAAATAAACTTCGATTTTTTCAAATAAATCTATTAAAAACGTACGATAAATATTTTCTCGAGAAATTGATGATACTCTATTAAATAAAGTTTTACAAAATTTTGGCAAAAAAATATAAGAATATATTATGATTTTTTTTTTCATATTTATATAAACAACTTCAACGACTATTATTATAATAAATTTTTATTTATAAATTTGTTAAAAATATCATGTTTGTATCGTCAAATGTTTTTTTTAAGTTTTGTAATTTTTTTTTTCATATTGTTTATCATTAATAAAGTTGGAAAAAATATAAATTAAAAAAAAAAAACTTAAAAAAAATAAAGATATATATGTTTTTTTAAGCTAGAAGATGTCTGAAGATGTTAGAAGACTCTGGTCCACATCTGCGCCAAGAAGAGGGCGCGCAAACATTTTTAGGTCTGCAGTCTTCAAAAAAACAAACAGTCTGCGAAGACTAATGTCTGCGCGTGGTCTGCGCGGCGCAGACAGAAGACGTCTCGCAGATCTGCAGACAAAAAACAAACACTACCTAAATCTTCTTTGAAGTTGCACTTCCATATAGTTATTCAGGTAACTTGTGTAGCTTTTTAATGTATGATAACTGTGATATGTTAAATTAGTAACTTCAATCGACGGTGCTGTTTTTCAGAGTTCTTGGTTGCTGATTTCAGTTGGGATCGATCAAGGGTGAAATACAAAGGCGACCAATCAAGAATAAGGCAAAACTTCAGAATTCAAATTTCACAGCATTTGGGTACGTTTCTTTTTGGAAGTTTTCTTGAAAATTTTGCAATTTTGAATTTAGGTAACAAGATGTTAAAACTATTTCTATTTTGGTTGAGTTGTCGTTCTTTGAGGTTTATAATTTAAATTTGGGGTCCTTCTACCAATAATTCTTGTACTGAGGTGGAGTTCGAAACATTGCACAGAAGGTGTTCGATAAATATCCCCAGCGAGATTACATTGTTCTTGATGAGTTTTCTTGCATATATTACGACTGTTTAGTGTTGGGTCTCAAGCTGTAATAGGTAACAGGAATATAGGACTAGGGAAAAAGGGTTCTAGTTCTTCCGTTTTCTTTGAATATTGATTAAAATTTAGTTTTGTTTATTCTTGTCGGAGTTAAACTTTAAAGCAAAGTAGTTATTTTATTATGTAAAGATATTTGGAATTCGTCATGTGTTTGGTGTGTAGGATTTGGAATGTATTTTTTTTGTTTTGGAAAATGTTTTGGAATGGTAGATCCATTGTTTTTATAAATCATATATGGTTTATAAATATGTCAAGCGATTTATAATCTATGTATGTTTTTGTTTATCTTTTGTTAGTAATTACCCATTAGACCCACTAACTTCATACATGACCTTTTTTTGCTTACTTGATCGGGAGGTCTAGAAATACACCATTGAAACCCACCAAGTCTTCCACTAACGACTTCCAAGTCTTCCACCAATGACTTTCAAATTATCCATGGAAAGAAGTTGCTCTGTTGAGTTTTGATTTATGTCTTTATAAATGAATATTTTGTTGCATCTAATATGTTGATTTTTTTTTTTTTTTCTGTTAATCTTCATGTTCTTTAAATTATTTCATAAATTGAGTTAATTAATAATATATTGTGGTTAAATAGGTTTTGCTGGTGGTTCGTAATTTGGATAAACAAGAGGAGCAGTATACAAAGTTCAAGGCCAATCAAGTTTTATTTAGTTTGATAGTTTTATGTTTTGAGTACTACCACAACATTTAAACTTTTTTTTTTTTTTTGAAGACGTGTGTTTTAAGTATTTTGTTGTTACACACGTTAAATTTAAGTTAAAATAGTGATATTATGTTCTTCATTTATTATCTTAATTGTCTTTTTATTATATTATATTCTATTTAAGTTTAAAAAATGGACCAAATCTTTGAATATAATGTTTTTGTGGTAAAAAAATATGACACTAAAAGCATGGGATATTATTTATTTTAGCAATTATATAGTGACATAAAAATAGTGCCACTAAAACTCAAAAGTTATTTAGTGGTGTAATAAAGAAGTGTCATTAAAACCTAATAAGGTTGCAGTAGCACAACAAAAAAGTGTCACTAAAGACCTTTAGTGGCAGTGCTTTTAGTGACATTTTTTTTTGTGCCACTGACTCCCCAAGGGGCCTTTAGTGGCATATTTTCCGTTTTTAGTGACACTTTTTCTATGCCACTAAATTTCATTTAGTTTGTAGTGTGGGTTTGTATATAATAATTTATATGCCCTTTTAGAATATTCTACAATTATGTAATTAGTCGGTGTTTGTATTCTAGATACAATTAATAGTGATTAAAGTATAATCCCAAAAAAGTTAAAAGGAGGACATTTCTACCGATTAAAAAGTAAACTATATCAAGTAAAGTTTAATTCACCATTTATCATCACGAAGGTTTAGATGGTATTATTGGGTTGTATCTTGTGTTCAATCATATACATTCATTAGAAAGGAAATCATACACCAAAGTTTATAGTTCTGTAATAATTATTTTCTTTATACTTTAGTGAAAATATTATTAGGAATCTTTTATATATAAATAAGATTCACATATGTCAAATAAACTACATTATTTTCCTTCAAAGGTCCCTTTCTTGAAGTTGGAATATGTGAATTTCATTTATACAACAAAGATAACAATGTCATGAATAAGTTTGATTTAAAACAAGTTTAAGTCAAAAGTGCTTGCATATAGAAATTAATTTTATAAAATATTGATATTTATTTTGTAATTCTATCAAGAGATCTAGTCTCAAAAATAGAAGTCAATCATTTCAGAATATGAGTATTGTCGTTATGAAAAACGATCTAGTAAATTTTCAAACATTTAAATAAATAACTAAGACATAAATATTTAGAAATGCTAAATTTAAAACATACATTGTTCCAAAACAAACATTGTTTTATATTACAAGAAATTTATGTTGTAAGCATAAATAATAAACTAAACTTCGAGAGTGTAGTTCCAACTTGTTTGTGCTCAGCTAGTTATTCTACTGAAAATATTTACAATCAAGTTACAAATATTAGATTAACAATGAAGTAGCAAGTACTTGAGTGCTACACGAAAAGTATGAGTTCCATCCAGTAGATACCTAACGTACTAGTCTCTTTCAGACTTTCTTTCTAGATAAGAGAAGCAGTTCCTCTACTAGTGTCCAGTTTCTTTACAAAAGGAACAAGATCCATCTATGTGGGCCTTATTGGATTTCTTGGGCTTAAAGTGTTTATTCCATAACACATGGGCCTTTTAGATCAAACAAGGTAACTCTTTTAGCCTCTTTTAGCCTTACACTATTCCAACAAATAATCACTATATATATTGGAGTAATGCTTAACTTGTTATATTATTATTATTAGTATATATATATATATATATATATATATATATATATATATATATATATATATATATATATATATATATATATATATATATATATAATCCAAAACTTTCTAGAAGTCATAAATAATTGTTCCTAGTATAAACTTAGAAGCATCTTGAGTATCACTGTGGTGCATTTACTAGGTATAATATTCAGGTCTATTGCTTAAAACAATTTGTTTAGGAATAGGTCCTTTAAGTATATACAATATCACATCTCTCACGAGATTGTCTCTTAAGACATGAACCCATTCATTGAAGTTGTATTTATTGAATATTATTGTTTTAATAAGTCATTTAAAGAGAAATGACAATTTATGGTTATGAGAGTGGATTATACATCTACAAAATTTTAACAAAATTCATTTAGTATTATCAATATTTAATATTTAATAATTAATACCCTTTTAGTTTTTAAAAACGTTAATTATTAAAGTCTAGGATCCAAGTTGCAAAACGAATAAATGGTTAGGTATCATTTATGCCATTCATTTGAATTCAACCCGCTAGATATCGATTATCAATTATATCTTACCATATAATTACTAGATTTACAGGATTGCTTATAAAAAATTTAGTTAGACATGTTTGATCCCATCTATGCCTAAGAACTCTCTTGCTTAGGTATCCTTTATCACAAGAGATTTCCGATCAAATCATCTAATTTGAGAAACTTGTGTAATCGTCCAATAACTTTGTAACACCCATAAAAATCATGTCAAATTTGAACTTTTAAAAACATTTTGATGAGAATAAAGTTCTTTTAGATCGGTAGATTCAAACAGATATTAAAGGATAATGACAAGAATAGAAAATGATAAACACATAGATGAATCAAACGAGTGTCGAATGATTAATATGCTCCACCTCAGAAGAATTCAATGTGAATTACTATTGTAGAGATGTGCTAGGGTTACAATGCAAGATCTATCAAATAATAATCAAAGAAGCGTATTGAATATAATGCATGCATGAACTATATATATATATATATATATATATATATATATATATATATATATATATATATGCTAAACTCTAATACATATATATATATATATATATATATATATATATATATATATATATATATATATATATGCTAAACTCTAATACAAAACACGGTTGGACAGGCCTAAACCGAGAATACAAATAGACCAAACACTAAGCCTAATGATGCAATCACTAGGACTCAACAATCTCCCCTTTTACGTCAATTGGGGCGAGAGATCACTTCGGTATGAAGGCAAGTAGAGTTTGACGAAAGTTGATATACTACCGAAGCATATCCAAAAACAGCTTCCTGTCTGCTTCACTGTTCTGATCGCACATGTATATGATTTCAAGAATACGCTCCAAGCATGGGGTGGAGAACAAGTGTTTGTCAACAAGAGCGAACAAGCATTTTTAACCTTCGCCCCTGGTGAACATGACTGTGTGGAACTGAGGATCTATCTTTCCCTTCTTCATCAAATTAATATCCCTTGCCTTCCCGATTGGTTTGATGATGGGCTTCTTTCTCTGGACAGAGGCGATCTCCTGATCCATCTTTGCAACTTCAAGAATGTAGCACACCAGCATTCGCTTGATATGATCAATGATAGGATCATACTCTTGTTGATTGGTCAGTAAGATGTTGTTCATGAGGATCCAGTCATGAGGATTCAGATTCTGCAGGTCAGCAAAGGAGATCATATGGACCGAACTATCTGAGCCTCGAGTCAATTTAAATTTGATGTTGATAAACTTCCCTGCTGAAGTGGGTTTTGATACCTTAACTGCTGTGATTTTCTGATTACTCCAAGTCAGGTATTGCGGTTGAGAGAACGTAAGATAATACTCGAGCAGGTCTCGATCAACCTTTGGTTTAGGAGAAGGGATGACAACAGTTCACTCGAAACAATGAAAGATAAATGCCTTTCGGGTGATTTCAAACTAAGAATCCTTGGAATTTTCAAGATTGAACGAAAGGACTGGTTCGAGCCAATGTGTGCTTGGAGATTCGATAACCTCCTTCAAAAGTCTTTCCATTGTCCATAGAGCAAACATGGATTTCCTTCGTTCCAGGGCATCGTTTTGTTTTCTTTCCCTCTCTATAGCAATCCCTGCGACACAAAGTTTCTCTTTAAGCTCTCGATCATTCTGCTTGATTTTGTGATCTTCGATTTTTGGAGCTTTTTCTTCTTCGGTTTCAATCATATCTTCTGTTTCATCCTCATCATCATCACCGATTTTCTTTTTACCTTTGTCCTTCATACTGCCTAAAGCTTCATTACCCTTCGGTTCAGCAGTGACTTTCGGTTGTGGGATGGGTTTGCTTGTTGGTGGTGTTGTGATTGACCTTGGCTAACATCTTCTCCCCCTTGTTTCGGAGGGACAACAGACTCCAGAACGCCTTCTATCCTCCTTAGAATGTCTAGAGCAGGTCTCAACTTCTCAACCAAGTGGCGTCGAACCGAGATAGTGAGAACTGAGTCATGCGCTTCCAGAAGATGGAGAAGAATGGAATGCACATCACCAACGCTACTTTTGATGACAAATCGCTCTGACTTGAGTTGTTCATTCTCTTTTAGAGCCTACTTGAGCTTTATAGCTTGATCTTTGACTTTGGTGGTTCTGAGAGCCAAATCATCCATGAGTTTGTTCTCCATGGCTAGATCAGCTTGAAGTTTATCAAGATGTTGATTGACAGAAGATTGAAGGTCAGTGTAGTCGGATTTGATCGCATTGCGTGCATCCTCAAAATGCTTCTTTTCAGCTTCAAGCGAGCTGGTAAGAGTGTCAATGGAAGCATTCACCATCTGAGCATTCTTTTGAGCTGCAGCCTGAAGAGAATCAAGGAAAACTTGAGCATTAGAAATTAGTTTTTCATTGTTTGCGGTTGCCCGCTTGAAATCATTTGTGGATTCATCAACTGCAATAAAACTTTTCTGGCAGGAGGAAGTGTAAGCATCTATAGCTTTAATGACATTAGAAATGGTAGTATCATGCTCTTTGATAAAGGTGTTGGATTAGTGTCTAAGTCCATAACTATTTTGGTATGTACTTGACCCGATGGTGCATGGTCTTTTTGGGTTGCCTTCACCAAAGCAACTTGATAGGATGATTTATGGAGAGTAAGGATTAAATATGATTTATTAATGTATTATGAGAATAATATATTAAAGGAGAAATCATATTGTTTAATTAATATTAGTCAATAATTAATTGGTAATTAGTTTTGTGACTAAAAGAGATTAATTAAACTTAAGGGACTGGAATTGTGATTATAAGATAATTATAATTTGGGCCATGGATTGCCTTATATTAAAGGATGGACGAATTCTAATGGGAAACCCATAAGGAAATCGTCCATGGGCTTGATAAAAGGAGTCTATGGGTTGCTTAGGGCTTAAGCATCCAAATTAGGGTTTCCTTGTTAGATAACCCTAATAGCC